TATTTCTCTCGTGAGTTTGGGTGTAATTTGTGGTTGTCTATGTGTGTGTCCATGGCACCCGCGACACAGGGTTTCCCTAGTGCGGGGCTATGTTGAGTGTGTGCGTTATTTATTTATTTATTTATTTATATTCAAAATTATTTTGTATGTCCTAAATTTACATTACAAATTTTTTATTATATTTCATAACACATTATAAATAAAGAATGCTATTTTATTAAACTCACATAGAGAACAGACAAATAGATCAGTTTTCCCATATCTGCCCTTATCATACAAATAAAAATATGTTTAATGTCAAATTTCAAAAAGTTATTGCACTGCTATATGTGAATCTCGTAGAATTTAATCTTTTTTAAAAAATAATTGCAGTTTAGAACTGCATAATTTAAAACTAATGTAGTTTTTGTACGCAAACATTCATTATCCGGGTTAGATTACGGGCCTTGATCTTTGCAGTCCTGTGACGCTCCCGAACGGCTGGACAGAGACAAAGTCTACCTTGAAACCACAGGTAATTTTAATTTCATTAAGACTCCAGTAAGATTGCAATTGAGGAGCGTCAGAACAAAAACCGATAAAACCATTACAACAATTATTTCAGAAATTGAAAAAATGTATAAGTCTATGGTTTACGAAATTATAGTAGAACGAAGTATGCCAATTTGTTGGTATTATTAACACAGTCTCGTAACCTAAGGAATCAAAAGAAAAGTTATCAGTTTCTGATCAGACTATATGGATATATCGCCATTTGATATGACCGTAAAATTATATTTATTTTCGAAATAAAAAAGGCTTAAATTAATAGTGATATTTTGGTATTTGATCGGCGTCTGTTCTGTTTGTAAAATTATTTCATAAAAGGATTACATTAACCTACACGCCTGTCCATAACAGTTGCAGTGCCTCTCAGAGCTTTAAATAGATCTGAGGCGCACTGCCACTGCGCTCATCACCCTAAGACATAAGTTGACAAGTCCCATGTGCCTGTAATTTCACGAGCACACTTATCCTACTAAACCGGAACGCAGTAATGCTAACATTACTGCTTGGCGGCAGAAATAGATAAGGTTGACAGTACTTTCTCTGCACGAGCTCCTTTACAAGGAGCTCTACTGCTGCTAGAAATGCTGTAAATAAAGTTTATATTTAAATCATGTATTTCTGGCAGGTTTTTGAAGCGGATCAAGAATACATTATCATATTTAAAAAGAAATATACCTAAATACGGTTTATCCGCTAAAATCTATTTGTAATGGCAGTCAAGTGTTAATAGAGTGTCCGTGAAATGGCAGTGATGCATTCATTCAGTCACTAACAAATGATGTAGCAAATATCATATAAAAAAAACTCGTCTTAGACAAGTTACGTAACTAGAAACCTTCATTATTCAAAAACTGTAACAAATAATGTAACATTTCTCGCCAACGAGTCACGTAATGTGACATGTCCTAACGTAATGTCAGACAACGTGGGAAACGCAGGTCCTTGACACGAACAAACATACATAATGTGTTATTGTGTGAACATTTTTGATAATTTCATTATAATCATATTGTACTATTGTTCATGATTTCTTGGAAAATTAATAACATTTTTTTTTGTGAATAATGATTGCTAATTTCAGTTCTATTACAATTCACAATAAGGTTCTTTTATGATATCTAGTGACGGGACGAACAAGTCGTGCGCCTGATGGTAAGCTACACGCCTGTCTATAACAGTTGCAGTGCCACTCAGAGCTGTAAATCGCAAAGATCGGCACTGCCACTGCGCCCGTCACCCTGAGACATAAGTTGACAAGTCCCATGTGCCTGTAATTTCACCAGCACCCTTACCTTTCAAAACCGGAGCACAGTAATGCTGACATTACTGCTTGCTACTTGCGGCAGAAATAGGTAAGGTCACAGAGATGGGCACTGCCACTGCGTCCCCCACCCTGACACATAAGTTGACAAGTTCCATATACCCGTGTAGCTTTCTTATTGTTTGTTATTAAGAATTAATATAGTGCATAAATTAACAATAACAAATCCGAATAATCTTCTGTTCTCGAACAGATGCTAAATACTAAATAATTTACCTGAGTAAATAATTTTTATTAATACAAGGAATAAAAATTTACAACTTCCCTGTCCGCATTCATGACAATTATATACCACCTCAAATCCACCGAGTTTCTAAAACGAGTTTTTTTAATACCTACTTTTTCAAAAATCAATATTAAACGATACAAAAAAACGCAACTTTTGTTTTGCTTTCAGGTTAGAGTTCAAGTTTTTTGCCAAAAGTTCAGATAATAATATAACATAACGTATTACGTGCATAGAGAAAAAGGTGCTTGAAGAAATGAGTCGCATATGATGCACGCACTTATTTCAGAATGTTCTTGGCAGTCGTCTTCACAAAGTCACAAACTCATTAAAGGGTCAATGAATACGCTTCTAAAATAAAATTTCGATTATTGAAAATTTTCCATTTACAAGGTTTAAAACTATAATGATACAAAAACGCAATATCAAAGGTAATATATTTAAAATAAATATTGTAAATGATAAATGTATACAACTGTGCAATTACTTAGAGCAACCCGTAAATAATTTTACTCATTCTTCTTAGGGGAATCTGCCTTACGAATGAAAAGTAGAGTTTAATCTATATGTAATTTGTAAAAAAATAAGTGAAATAAAGATATAGCATGTATATATCTTTTTTTTAAATAAGTGCGTATTTGACGATGTAGCATGCATACCTTTTTTTATTGCCACTGCGCCCGTCACCCTGAGACATAAGTAGACAAGTCCCATGTGCCTGAAAGTTTTACCAGCACCCTTACCCTTAAAAACCGGAACGCAGTAATATGCACATTACTGCTTGGCCACCGAAAGGGATAAGGTGGCAGTACTTCCGTGGATGGACTCTTTCACATGGAGCTCTACTGCTACAGAAGCCACTAAATAATGCCTATTCACTTCTAGCGAATAAGACTATAGGCAGGGAATTATAATAAAAAACGAATCGCTTCGTGTGAATACTTGGAATATCCAGAACATAGGGATGGAACCCCAGACAAGTCCCCCGATGACGGAAAGGGGAAGGCGGAATTTAGTCACGCCATCCGATGACACACTCTCCGTGTATATCCTGTAGAACCAATAAGCAGGCAACTTTACGACGTTGTTCAAGGCTCTGCAGCTTTGCCTCATATTTGAATTTTCCATAGATTACTCCAATTACAGACTCCGTGGTCGAACGGTTGCCATGCTGGACTGCCACGTAGAGGTCCTGGGTTTGATTCCCAGGCCGGGAGAAATATGGTCTACATTGATTTCTCTCGTGAGTTTGATTGTAATTTGTGGTTATATATGTGTGTGTCTATGGCACTCGCGACTCAGGGCATAAAAAGATTTTTTGTCCATTACAATTAAAATTCGTAGCCAACAAGGTTCTATCTCATAAGATCACAGAATTATTACTTCTTATATTACGCTGAAGGTAACAAAGAAACTTTTTGTAGTGTTTTTTTTTCTAAGAATAAATCCATGACGAATGAGCAATCAATCGATCAATGAAAATATTTAGTGAATGGTTTGTGAGCAAAAAACAGTCAAGTGCGAATAAACAATCATTACTTAAATAAGTACCTATTCTAACAACTTGTGAGTTACTAAATTGTGCTGTGAATGTATCCATTAAGCATTTAGTGCTGGAATGACCTGTCGCGTTCGGTAAAAAATGCCAAATATTTAAAAGAAATATGTAAACAATAGCTCCTAACTGTGTAGAAATCGAGTGGCAATTGGTCGGTGGTTAAATCGCCTAGCAACACTAAATGCATAACATTTAAGAATTTATTTAATTACAATGTTTTAATTTTTAAACATTTTACATAGGTGGAACACACACAGCCTCTATTATTTGTGTATTATATGTGGTTAGTATACACTCCGCTTGCCGGTCTGAAAATCAGCAATGCTGAGTCTTTATCCTTTTTGTCCACCTTACTGTTCTTTTGTTTTAATTGTTCGCTTATATTTGTTTATGTGTTTTGTGGATAAATAGATGTCTTTATTTTTATTTTATTTTCATTAAGCTCATTTTTGTGTCTATCAATTTTTCTTTCTCTTCTCGTATCGTGAGTATAGAGCGTGGGTATAGAGGCTGTTTGGAGTCCAGATAGATCGAAGGAATTGTTTGTATTTGTTTGTATTGTATTTGTTTGATCTTTGTATCAACAATGATGACAAACTGGTGGAATGTTTTCATAAATAATTTTTACATTTTTATTTAAAAAGAAAATGACCTCGTACGTTTGTGGAATGAAAAGTACCCCAATTCATCCCCTAAATTGTCACCATTGGACATGGAATACTTTCTTCAAATTTGAATGGGACAACTATAGATATACCCCCTTTTTTACAAAAGAAGAATCATCGAAGTCAATTCACAAATGCTGGATTAATTGAGTAACATACAAACAAAATACCAAACGAATTGAGCACTTCCTCCTTTTTCGAAGTCAGTTAAAATAGATGAATATAGTGGTAGCATAAAACATGATTTTCAATAAAAATTATTAAATTAATAATATTTCTTTATCGTAAACAGTAATACATTCATCGTCAATTCATTATACGTCCTGATGCAGGATAAAGGTCTCTAACTAAATGATTTTTTGCTTTTTTCCTTTGTTACTGTTGCCCCGCATTAGGGAATTGCTGTGTCGCGAGTGCCATGGACACACACATAGACAACCACAAATTACACTCAAACTTACGAGAGAAATAAATGTAGGGCTTGCAAATATTTCTCCCGGCCCTGGAATCAAATTCAGGACTTCTGTGTGGCAGACCGGCATGGTAACGGAGGCAGTTGAATAGTATGAAGTCCGATGCAAAAATTAAAAGATCTTTGGCGGTATAGGATTCAATCAGTTTTTTTTTTCAAAATATTTATTTATTATCTTTATTTCTTTAACCTCTATTTATTTTCTACAGCTGGCTATCCTGGTGCCGTAAGCAAAGTAGCGTACACCACACACCACGGTCTCGGCGGATACGGCGGATATGGTGGATATGGTGGTTACGGATACAGCGGCCTGGGTGGTTACGGCGGTCACGGTTAGTATTTAAAAAATTATGGATATATGTTATGGCACTAAAAACTTCCAATACTATTGACAGTGTTTGTTGCAATAGATCATTCATTATTTTTAGTTAGTTATTCATAAATTAAATGTCCCTTTCTAAATCCTATACGGCTTCATTAACTTGCCAAACCATAAAAACTGTTTTATCAAATTTAAATCGCGTATATTTGTTTTTTCTTAATCACGGCCATCGAGTATATAACCAGAAATAGAGACGAAACAAGGGCAACCCATCACTTCAAGGGCACTTTTAAATATCAACTCTCGTTTGTACTGAAATCACAAATTAGAAAACTGAAATAGAACAGCACCATCAACTGACCTGTGTGTACGTCTCCGTATATTCCAAAAATATTCGGTATATGATGTAGATAATAAAGATAATATCTCTAACAACGGGGGCGTGTGGGAAAAACAGCAAAACATCTAATTACAAAACAAACGGAATCACATTTCATCGGTAAATAAATATTAAATATCTAATTTTGCAATTAACGTCTAGTACAGCAAAGCTCAAGTTAAACTAGTCGATTTGAAGTAAAATAATTGGCGACACCCGTCAATTGTTTGGAATTTGGGCTGGCCAATCGGAGCGCGGTTGTCACAGTAATGAATTGGCAGAATAGTTTTCAAACAAATTAAATGACATTTCGTCTCTATTTCTGATTGTATACTCGATGATCACGGCTGATCAATCAACCGTGACCATCGGACTTGTAAAGTACCCGAAAAGTTGGGTTTTAAATAAATAATACGCGATTTAGATTCTAGAAAACGTGTATTAATGGCGAGAACCTAAGAACTCGATACTATATATCATTTTTGGACATATTGACCCCTTCGTAGATTCTAAACACTGCTTCAAAACAAACGTTAAATTAAAACTATCAAATGATTGGTCAGCTGCACTCAAATATCATTTGGTCATTTGCATAATATATTCAAGGTTCGCAGTCTTACAATTTACAGTCAGTTATATATTTCTATTGTAAAGGAGAAAGGTTCTTTCTTCCGTTGGATGAGGTTACCAAAACAAGCCAAGTGAAACTCCAAATTGTTCAGAAGATTTTTATTTTCACCTTGTATGTCTCCAATACAATTTCACCCTATATTCGGAAGGTCCGGGTAGTTGTTCCCAAGAAGGGACTCACTCCTGGAAACAGTACTCAGATCTTTTGTGATTGAAAGTTTTGAGTGGCACTGGAACTGTTATTGACAGGCGTGTCGCTTACCTTATTATTGTTGCACGTCGAATCACTTGGTGTCATAAAAAAATATTAAAAATTCAAAAAAGGCTATATGGAAGAACGGAAGAACCATTGCCTGCCGAAATAGGTGAAAATGTATCTACAAAATTTTAATGTAGAATTCAAACCGTGGACTTCACAGCTAGTTTACAATCTATTCAGCTATTATTCTGACCAATAAAACATTAAAAACAATATCAAGATTTACTTTGTCATGTACAAGGATATATCACCTAACAATTACGTAGAGATAATACGTGGGAACTTATCTACATGGAAACAAGCCCTATAGATCCGTACATGATAGTATGAGAATTTTAACGAACAATCACACGTACCTATCGAATCTTACACGGTACATTATACGCCTTTTAAACTCATTGCCAGGCGCTTAATTAATCACACAGCAATGTATGTAAAAAATATAATTAGCCACTTCCGAGAAGTTTTAAAAATTTGAGGTCGTAATGCTGCCTTTTCACTAGTTGATTTTGAATTACGCATTGTTATACGAGTACAAACTGTCATTATAGTTTTACTACATGCATGATTTTAAGAACAGTTGAGCTCCTTGTAAAAGATTTCGTTTAAGAAAGTACTGCCACTTTTCCTATATCTGCCCCTTAGTAGTAACGGTGCTGGAAAATTACGGCACAAGGGACTTGTCAACTTATGTGTAAGGGTGACGGGCGTAGTGGCAGTGTCCCTTAAATCTTTGTGATTTAAAGCTCTGAGTGGCACTGCAAATGTTATGGACAGGCATGTCACTTACCACCAGAGGCACGACTTGTTAATTCCGTCACATTGTATTATAAAAAAAATGTAGTTATAGATGTAATTCTCGTCGGAATTAAGAATAAATGAAAAATTCTCCTTTTGTTGTAAATTTTCAAATAAAACGATTGCAATTTGTCTATCTACTTACATATTATAGTTTACGTAATTTGTTTCCTTTGACTGAATTTCATTGTTTTCTTTTTATTCTAATGTAAGTGTGCATTTGACCTAAAATATGACCATAAAGTTCAGGGAACAAGTGTACAGGCAGGGAATTCCACTCCATAACCGTTCGCCATATAAATGTGGAAGCGTAACGCTTCGTGCGAATCTTTGGAATATCCACAACATAGGGGTGGAACCTAAGCCTACGCCTGGTCCCCTGGTGATGGAAAGGGGAAGGCGGAATTAAATCGTGTAATTCCAACGCACTCTCCGTGATATTATATCCTGTAAAATACCAATAAGCTTAAGGTTTACATTATCAGATATGCTCGTATCGTGTTTATTTTTAAAATAAATTCAAAAAATTAATCAAACAATTTTTTTAGGTGGTTATGGCGGACACGGATACTATGCCGCTCCCGCTGTGAGCTACGCTAGCAACATCGGATACAGCGGTTACGGTGGCTACGGCGGTGGTTATGGCGGATACGGTGGATATGGCGGATACGGCGGACATGGCTTGGGCTATGGCGGTTACGGACACGGTCTCGGATACGGCCTTCACTAATTTTAAAATACGTTATCAAATCCCTAATATATTCTTTAATGATATACTCGAATATGGAATTGTGATAATAATTAACTGCCAATGTTTATTAAGTTACCCAAATCCTTATAAAAAAAACTGAGTTACACATTTTTTTTTCATATTATTTTGAATGCGACATAAATATTGCCGAATATTTTATAAGCAACGAATTTTTTGCCGAAGAGTCTTTGTAAATAATTATGAAATAAAATATTTATACAAAATAACTATCCTCTTTTATTTTACACGGAACTATTTTTCTTGGGTTGTTTTACGATTTACTCCAGAGCTTGCTGAATTTGTTTATCATATTTGTAAAACCTTAATATAATTTAAGAAATACATAATCATTTCAAAAGCTACAGCCTGTTTTTATTTGAAGTCGGAATAAAATGACAGTTAATTGTGCAGAAGTGTTGCCCGCTTAAGAGCAGCTAGTGATTGCAGTCGATAAAATATTCTATCGACTATCGACTGAATATTGGTCACACTTACAGAATACATAGCCAAACTTGTTGTATGTGAATAATCATTGACCCATTATTCGTCCAATTACTGAGCTCATTTGAATTGTCAATTTTGGTAAGTTCATGTATACATACACTGTATTTAGAACTATGTTTATGAATAATACAAAGAGGAGACATATTTTAAAGTTTTTCATTTTAATTCAATATATATAATCAAGTCCGTCTCGTCTTGTTAAAACGTATATGAATGAAAATTGGTCTCGATACAAAGAATAAAGAAGGCAATAACGGAATTAGTAATTATAAGAACGTAACGTTCACAATGCTGTCAATTTTTAGCAAAATTTTATCTTCTTCCACAATCTATCGATAAAACTATTGACTACAACTACATAACTGTTAGAAATTTTATGAAAACTGGCAACCCTACAAATGTCATTTTACTCCGTCTTCAAAAGACAGACTATAACAAATTTTAAATCAAATAGAAAAATAAAAATCCAGAGCCACAGAAAAACTACATGACTCCAAAATCTTGCAGAGTGATTCAATAAGAGTACCACAGACCTACTCCGAGCTGCAAGTGCACGGGTTTTCTTCTTGTAATCATATGGATGGCATACACTATAATTATTATTGGTATTGCAGGTACCTACTTGTCCACTTATATCTCAGGGTGACGGGCGAAGCAGTGCCTCTCAGATCTTTGTGATTTAAAGCTCTGAGTGGCACTACAACTGTTATCGACAGGCTCACTACCAGGCAACCGGCGAGAGGGAAACCCGGGGGGGTTTTAGTGGGGTAGGCCTTCCAGTGTGGAGGGAGAGTCCCCACATAACCCCTGAGTCTCCCTGGGCTCAGGGGTATCCATAAAGATTTCCCCCCCGTCAAAAAAAAAAAAAAAAAAAAAAAAAGGCTCACTACCAGGCGCACGACTTGTTTAATTATTACGTCCCTTCACTTGGCATTAAAAAAAGTTTTCTTTGTGTTGCATATATAAATTAATGTCTTTTTAATTACCTTTCACAATAAAATTATTTAAGATAAAAATCTTTTTTAACAACAATCGGAATCTTTCTTTCAAACTTTATTTCATTAGTTATTAGTTGTTTGTGAGAAATCAACAAGAATACAATTTTGAAAAATTATTTTCTCTCTTATATTTTTGCGTGAAATCATTTTCTTTCATGTGAAAAACTGCCATTAGAATAACAAAAAGGCACTTTTAATCGAATCTCCCATTACCGTCGTTTATTCGACTTACCACGCATTGCGATCTGTGTGGCGAAGGCAGTGAGGTGGCAAGATGGCTCAAAGTCTCATCATACATCATTTATACTTCCGTGTTGAATAATGCATTGTTACCTTTACTTTTCCAATATTAATAAGAGCATTTTTTCTCGAAAACCTGTTACGTTTGACTGAAGTTTTATTAATCGAATATGTTTCCCTGCACTAGGACTCTTTTCAAAACAATAATAAAATATAGTCCTCCTTATCGATTTCTATAACAGCTACACTTGGAGATTATTTCCTAGCGTGTGCCCTAACATGACTCGCCATACCGAATTTTGTCTTAAGTGCCCGATCACAAATAGAGCATTAAAGTTGACCAGCAGAGTTGAAAGTATATGCAAAGGTTTAGGGTGTAGGAGGGTTTAGGTCTCTATTTACTCATTTAGCATTTTTAATCGACTCAATTCGACTGTATGTTTTTTTTTTGTTTTTTTTAAGGATTTTGAAGGAAATCATCCACCTCTAAGGGTGGCTCTTCACTCATGAATATTCATTTTTATAAATAGCGCCTAACTTTAATTTAGGAGCAATTACTTTTAGCAATTATTTAGTTGATTTTGCTATTTCTCCAATTTAAGGCGTTTTTCCCTCGATATACTTTGAGTAGTGTCGTAGTGAGAACCTATTTTTATTATCTCCAGTATCAAGTCCTGTATAGTGGCGAACTAGGGGATATTTCAATGAAACTTAGCAAATAGACGTAATTCGACGTACTTTTGAGGTCGGTTTTTTTAGTACTCTGTACTGAGATTATTCGTTTAAAGTTTTGATTCGCTTTTATTCGAATGTTTTTACATTTTTATGCATAGTAGACTGCCAAGACCAATAGCGCAAGCGTGTAGATGTCTCTTAGCACATTGACAACCATGCTTCCGTTTGCCTTCCGCCATGGCGGAGTAGAATATTACTTTAGAAATCCGGTGGTCCTCCATGCGCAGGACGTGCTAGCACCACCTGAGTTGACACTGCATTGGTAAAGCTTATATGCCATACATGCCGCAACGATGCAGGATCTCCGTGTTAGGGACACGGTCTTGCCACTTAACGATCAGGATTGATCTGAGACACCATGGATGAAATGTGTCAAGTTTCCTAATGTCTGATTTGTAAAGGCACCACGTTTCTGCTGTATAAAGAAGGACCGGTAACATTAATGCCCTGTAAACACTAACCTTTATCTCTAGCTTCAGATCATTGGATTTCCAGAGACAGTCACTAAGTCGTCCAAAATTAGCAGCGGCATTTGCAATGCGCGATGGTATCTCCGAAGCCAATGTACTATCATGCCGTATGCTGCTTCCAAGATATTTAAACTGCATTACTTCCTCAAGTGGTTTCCCATCTAGGTTCAGTACGGTCTTATCAGCTTCGCAGCCTCGTGGCGGTTGCATAAGGATTTGCGTCTTGGAAGAGCTTATAACTAATCCAAATCGTTGACAGGATTGATGTAGTGCATCAACATAGTCTTGTAGTTGCGCCATGCTGTCGGTCCTTTCAAAACGATAATTAGTGCACAATGTGTTGGTTTTTTTTCAATTCTTTTTTATTTAAGTTATGGCTAATACATGCAGCTGTAGCTCAAAAACCACTCCGGATACAAACCCGCATAAAAAATTTTTTTAGTTTATTTTTACATAGTGGAAGGTGTTCCACATACGAATCTTGAATGCACGCAGGCAATTTATTCAGAAATTTAGTAATTACTATTATAATATAATTTCCGAGTACCGTACACATTATTCGTTTTAGGGAAATGCAATGACGACTTGCAATGTGGGCACTGGATGAGGAGGTCCAGACTTCGATTCCCGGTAGTACAAATTCGGGAAATGAACTTTTCTAAATCAGTTCGTATCTGGGTATTCTGGGAAGTACATCAGAGTGAATTCTGTTGCCCTGGTACTCATAGTACAGGGAATTCCCTAGTTTGAGACCAGGCAATTGGTTTGGTTTTCTGACACATCATATTATCTATCTATTTTAGACTTTCGTCTCTCCCATGGCCTAAGACATTATTTTGAATTTTTAAATGGGAGGAGACGGCCCCATCGACTTTTTGTTTGGGGTTTTTACAAAGAAATAACGTACGCCCGAGAATGTTCGAAGGAACAAGAACTGAGGGAGAAAATCCAAGAAGCCCAACGTGCTGTAAAAGGCAAACAGACAAGCTTTTTGAAGATTAAAATACAATTTCTTGCGTAGGTGTTGGATGTGCATTCCTGTTGGAGGCCGTCATTTTGAAAACCTTTTATAAATAAATGTATAGGAAATGAAACAATTTTTCCGAATTTAAATCGCGTATATTTGTTTTTTCAAACAAACCGACGTTTCGGGCCCTTTACAGGTCCCATGGTCACGGTTATAACCAGTTATAACTGGTTGAAGACTGTACCACCTCAGAAAACAAATATACGCGATGTATTTTCATCACAATGAACTGTGTATTAACTGAATTTAAAAAATGAGAAAAGCGTTAAACAAAAAGGTTAATCTAAGTAAATAGTAAATGCTATTAAGTTGTTATTTTGTTAGTTTATACACTTTCTACCATAATTAGCCTTAGGAAAGATAAAATAAGCAATAATTTTTTTTTTTAATCAAATTACTATGGTAGGAATTTTCGCCCTCAGTACCTTTGAAGGCTGATTTCAGCAAATAAATGCCTATTAAGTACTACTTTTTTGGTATTAATAAGAAAGTTTAGAGTCTAGCGCAGCTTTTAAAGTTACCCAGGAACTATGAAATTGCCGGTTTCAATTTTTGATATAAAGTTGAAAATTCAAGTCTGACTCTCTCGAACGCGAATTTTCCACTTTGAGTAAAAACTTTCGTAGCTTCTATTGATGCTACGAAGGCGATTATTTTGTGCGTTAAGGTACGATTCATAAAGATTGAGATCCAAAAAAAACATTAGAGCCTATCCTGTTGAAAAAATTCTACACGAAGTGCACTTTTCAGCGACGTAAGTTACGGCTTATGTTTAATTATTTCTTTTTCAAATTGGAATGAGTGGTAAGCATTTACAGAATCTATAACGTATCGTAAATTGCAGTCATTTATTCAAAATAGGAATAAATACCTTTTCTATCTATTTCGGAAGCAAACGACTTGATATGGTAAATAAATAGCTCCGGAGTTAGTCGCATTCGGAGCATAACTCAATTGGTAGTGGATGGATTCCAAAAGAATATTGTCTTGCGAAAATACCTCGCGAAAAAACGTTTTTTAACCGACTTCAAAAAGGAGGAGGTTCTCAATTCGACTGTATTTTTTTGTATGTATGTTACGCGATAACTCCGGTACTTGTGAACCGATTTATCCATAGTGGTCCCATTTTGAAGGCAATCATCCACCTCTAAGGGTGGCTGTTCACGCATGAAGATTCATTTTTATAAATAGCGCCTAAATTTTCTTAAGGAGCAACTA